CCCCAAAACCCCAAAACCCCAAAACCCCAAAACCCCGTAATACATAGATGTAATTGAAACGATATTTCAATAAATAAGTACTCATGAGCTTCTGGAACTAGGCCTAACATGTTCTAGGCAGAAATAAGCCGGTTTATTACATTCGATGATGCTTAGGAGTAAGCATGAAGAACTGTGCTGTAGCAGTCTTGTTTTTCCCTTCTTTTGGTCTTCTTCATCTTTGGTAGCCATTGGGATTGGAGTCGCCTTGTGTAATCTAAATGGAGGTGGTTAAGCGATTACTTTTAAGTATATTGAATGAAGGAAATACCTTTATTCCTACTTTCGTTCAAACCAAATCGAATAGGACCTCTTCTAGAAGTCAGCCTTGGAGAAGGCTTCTTCAAAGGCTTGAAAATGGAAGATCGAAGAGCAGCTCTAACTAGCTGCTTCTGCTGCTTAGTAAACTCTCTTTTTGAATCTGGAGAGGAAAGCTTTAATTTTTGGGTTGGAGAGTATTTTGATAAATCATTTCTGAGATACCTTGATAAAGATTGAATTCTTTTGTAAGGCAAATGGGATTTTCTCTGGATAGGTAATACAGAATCTTACTCGAGCACTACTGACTCTTTTGCCTTTGCAATTTTTCAAAGGTTTGAGAGATCTTGTATACTTTGTCTTCTTCAGACGAGCTATTGATGATGGAGAAAACTTACAAGAGTTGAGTGAGCCTCAGTCAGATCCCTCTAAGTCTGTCTCATCCAATGAAACCCTGGATTTGGAAGGACTACTTCCGTAAGTAAATGAGGTGAATACATTGCTTTCTTTGTCCCGATAGGCTTTGTTTGCATCCAAGAAGCGCTTTATCAGGCATTTCTTAGTATCAAGGCTGATGATTTTCTTAGCAATCAAACTCCAAAGGAACTTGATCTTGTCTTCTTTCTGGGAGTTGAGATGGAACGAAATAATGGGGTAGCCGAAAACTGGAATTCTCTTCTCTTTGCTAGTAATATATTTTTCAAGGTTATCTAAATTTATAAGTGAAAGCTTACCTATCCTCAGCTTTCGCTCAGGGATGATAACTTCCTCAAGAGAGGGAACTGAAGAGGCAGAAGTCAGGTTTAGCTGGTTCCTGTCTTTACAGATCGATACTCTGTACCTATTATTTCGTGTTTTTGGAGGTTTGCTGGAACTTTTTTGGACTAAATTGTTGAAGCCAGGGAATGCAGACACCCTTCTTTTAACAAGCTCTGTAGCAGGGAGCTGGAGGTTTAATTGTAGAGTGCTCTTCTCATCTTTGTTTGGCCCAAACGACATTTTACCAATTTTTGCTCTCAAAATATAATTAAATGGTGGGGTTTTGGGGTTTTGGGGTTTTGGGGTTTTGGGG